CCATCTAAGGAACCTGAAGGTGCACAAGTCCATGGGCTGTATCCGCAGGTGCTGAGGGAGCTGGTGGATGGAGTTGCTAAGCCACTCTCCATCATATTTGAGAAGTTGTGGCAGTCTGGTGTAGTTCCCACTGACTGGAAAAGGGAAAACATAACCCCCATTTCTAAAAAGAGAAAAAAAGAAGACGTGGGGAACTACAGGCCAGTCAGTCTTGCCTCTGTGCCAGGCAAGATCATGGAGCAGATTCTCCTGGAAGCTGTGCTAAGGCACATGGAAAATAAGGAGGTGATTGGTGACAGCCAATGCGGCTTCACTAAGGGCAAATCGCACCTGACAAATTTGGTGGCCTTCTGTGACGGGGTTACAGCGTTGGTGGATAAGGGAAGAGCAACTGACGTCATCTGCCCGGACTTGTGCAAAGCATTTGACACTGTCCTGCACGACATCCTTGTCTCTAAATTGGAGAGACAGGGATTCGACGGCTGGACCACTCGGTGGCTAAGGAATTGGCTGGATGGTCGCACTCAGAGTTATGGTCAATGGCTCGATGTCCAAGTGGAGACCAGTGACGAGTGGCGTTCCTCAGGGGTCGGTATGGGGACCGGCGCTGTTTCTCGTCTTTGTTGGTGACATGGACAGTGGGATTGAGTGCACCCTCAGCAAGTTTGCTGATGACGCCAAGCTGTGTGGTGTGGTCGACACTCTGGAGGGAAGGGAGGCCATCCAGAGGGACCTTGACAGGCTGGAGAGGTGGGCCCATGCAAACCTCATGAAGTTCAACAAGGCCAAGTGCAAGGTCCTGCACATGGGTCGGGGCAATCCCGAGCACAAACACAGACTGGGCAGAGAACGGATTGAGAGCAGCCCTGAGGAGAAGGACTTGGGGGTGTTGGTTGATGAGAAGCTCAGCATGACCCGGCAATGTGCACTTGCAGCCCAGAAGGCCAACCGTGTCCCGGGCTGCATCAAAAGCAGCGTGGCCAGCAGGGCGAGGAAGGGGATTCTCCCCCTCTGCTCTGCTCTGGTGAGACCCCACCAGCACTGCATCCAGCTCTGGGGCCCCCAGCGTAAGAAGGACACGGACCTGTTGGAGCCAGTCCAGAGGAGGGCCACAAGGATGATCAGAGGCCTGGAGCCCCTCTCCTATGAGGACAGGCTGGGAGAGTTGGGGTGGTTCAGCCTGGAGAGGAGAGGGCTGTGGGGAGACCTTAGAGCAGCCTTCCAGTGCCTGAAGGGGGCCCACAGGAAAGCTGGAGAGGGACTTTTTACAAGGGAGCATAGTGATAGGGCTGCAGACCACTATAGGCTTGGAGGTGGTGCTGTGGAATGTAAATGTGGCCTTTCTTAGCATAAAAACATTGTTCCTGATACGCGTTTTCTACTTCAAGGGGCCATTATAGGCACCTCATTCTATACTGGTCACCAGAACAGTCTGCAGCAGACATTTCGGGAAGTGCTTATTGCTTTTTCATATGCTCAGGACAGCTGAATATGCTGCACCAATTGGGTACAAGATCCCAAAGCTGCCACTCATCTTGGAAAATCTAAATTGATGCCTGCAGCACTAATGTCAATTTGTATGTATAAAGGCTTAATACAGCACAGGGAAGTGTACTGGCAGACAGCAGGAGGAGCGCATGAGAAAAGAACCCGAACCATAAAGGATTCTTTATCAGTCTAATGTCCGTTTTATTCACACGGAGTAAGATTTGCTGATTTTACGGGGGCAGGGGGGATACTGTTTCTGCTACCCATTTAATAGCTATTTCTGCTATTGTTACTAAAACATTAGCAGGGTCATTTGAAATGTGACTGCAAGGTACGTTAAGCTGAAGATCACCTGCAGTGTGATGGTGCTTACTCTTGACAGTCTGTCTGTCCCTATATCCGTTCTCCTGCAGCAGCCATCACCTACCGACTAAGGAGAAGCCTTTCCTTAGTTTTCCTCGTTTGTGCAGAGGAGGCATTACCCGCCTTGTGCTGAACCTGTGCCAGCGTCCCAAGGACAGATGAGCCATGTTATTTCATCCTGACATGTTTCTGTTGATGCTATTCTTATTCATGTATCCGTTATAATCATTTATGTTTGATGTCATCGAGCAGCAATGCAGCGTTCCGATCGAGTTGGCCCCCATTGTAAAACAGAAAAACAAGTTGACGTGCCATCCACTGCTAAGTAGGTGGCTCTGCAAGGCAGATGCACCTGTCCGAGGCACCTAGCAGAGGTTTAGGTGTTAGCAGAATCTTTCCAACTTACTCGACCAAAATAGAAATCTGTTTACCCTTCACGAGCTGTTCAGTGTCTTTCATGCTGCTTTTCCCTAATCAATTATAAACTATTTTTAGCCTGCACCAGGATTTTCTAACTTCCATCCTAGTACATTATCCTATTTGATTCTTTAGAATAAAACAGGTGGCAAAACTCACCTTTGAGCAAGAAGTCTCGCAGATTTCGCAGCAGTGGCCACTAAATGTGAGAAGAAAACTCTCCAGCAGTATTCTCATCAACTGTGTATTCACAGTAGATCTGTCAGATCTTTTCGAGCAGAGTTTAAGGTCAGTTCTGGAAATCATGTGCCTCGTTATTCTTGTAGGCCACACTGGTGAGAAGTGGAAGGGAAAGAAAATGATCCGCATTCTGGAGCAGCATCATAGGGGTCACCAGCGTCCCACATTCCACTGAGAAGTCACCTAAGCTGCTCCTTGACTGTCCGTCTCGCAAGCCTTGAAACGAGGTGGATTTTGCTATGGAGGTTTAAAATAAGACTTGTGTGATACCGTTATCCCTTTGCAGATTGCTGACCCTGAGACCTGTGACCGAATGTACGAGAGCTTAGTCAGAATCCACACCAACTACTACAAAAACAAGGTGAGCTTTGGCATTAGCCATCGTGCCTCTCTTGGGGGTGAGTCACCACCTGCTGCAGTTGGCTGCCTCATCCCAGCAGGGTTTCTGGGAATATGTGGCAGACAAGTGAGTGGGCAGGTGGATGCAGCACTGCCTGGTGCCTTTGGTCACTCTGGGAAAGCTGCAGCCGTCTTGGCCTCCGTGCCATATGTGAACAATGCAGACGATGGTTCTCAGTACGCATGAACAGAATTCTTAGAGCTTGACTGAAAATGAGCTCAGACTCTACTGTATGGTGACGTTTTTACCTGTTCTAATGCACATAAAGTAACACCTTTTCTCTCTCTTCTCTCACCTACTTGCTCGCTTGTGAAGTATCCACGCCTGAAAGACACAAGCTTCACTGGACTGACAGTAGAAGACTGCAAGATGATACTAGCAACAGGTACTAATACTGTGCTCGGTTTGAGAATAAGTCAGCGCAGGAGATAAAGTACGTTCTAGTCTTTGTGGTGGTCACTGCATCACTTCTACTAAGCACCTGTGACTGAAGGTCAGAATGGGACTGCTGTGCAAGTATATTAGGATGTTTAATGAGGAGTAAGTTCAGGAGTAATTGAGGAGATCTTCAGTAATCTCTCAGGGCAAAAAGTCGATTGTATTTAGCACTGGGCAGGAACAGCAAAGGGTTTGCAAGGGCTCTTTGAGATCGGATAGCAGGAGCTGTGAAAGAAATGGACGTTTGCGACATCATTCCAAAAATTCTCAGCTTCTGTTTCACCGTGTTCAAATTCCCTTCAGTATCTCTCCTTTTGTATTAGACTTTGAGAGAAAACAGGGTACCACGATGCAGAAATACTCTCAGCCAGATCATTTAAGTGCAACGTGGGAAGCTAGTGCAGTTTTGTTCTGCTCCAGTTCCTAACTTTGATTGCAGTGCGTGGAAACTGAATATTAGTTGTTAGCGATAAGGGACTCCCCGCGCAATTGATTGGAAGGAAAACAAACTTGCCCCAGGCCCTGAAATAGAAATTCATTAACATGAAAAGTCAAAAAAGGAAAATATATGTAAGGCAAAGCTTTTATAAGAGAGCGTTCATTCCTTTGTTTTTCTGATTTTCTTCCTCTTTCCCCATCTCTCTCTCCCCCTTCTCCTTTTGCAGACATTCTGAAACAGATGGAAGACATGAAAAAAGGGACATGGAAAAAACTGCGAGAAAAGTTTTCTGCCAAGAAACCTGAAGAGGACTCGAAGTGATAGGCTAACTCCCAGATTCTCCACTGTATATATATCTAAAGCACTGTATGTTGCCATGATGAATAAAATCATTTATTCCTCTTAGCAACAGCATTTTTGTTCAGGCCTACACCTTACACTCTTCACTTTTAGTGTCCCCTCTTTTTTTCCTGAAAAATCTAGGACATAGCTTAACACAGCTGTGCTGAAACGCTATTGGAGCAGTGTAGTGTAGAAGAACGAACTTTGTGGTGTTAGACCAAATCCTTTGCGTTACAAGAGATGGAACAGCCAGGCGATGCGCAGGGCAAGTTCACTTGGGAAGATAACAATAGTGATGATGCAAAAATGTCGCTGTGCTTGTGTTTCTGTGTGGTAGCACTGGTAACAGTGAAATTGAGGGAGGGGTAACTTCAGTAATCACATTTATTTTCCTTTTGAGGACACAGGAGAGGACTGAGGGTGAGTTTTCCGTGGTGACAGTGAAGCAATGTAAGAGTTGAACTGAGACTTCAGTGAAATGCTGCAGCGGTTTGCTGCTGCTCCAGCTAGCTGTGTGCAGATTTCCCTCGGCGTCAAGAGGAGGTTGCCTATGGGTTACTGCGTGTCTGAGGGATAAAGATAGGTTTTAATGATGTGTTGGTATATAGGGCCATGAGCAAATTTCAAGTGTGATTGGACATTGCTGTGGCCTATTTTTATTCCTTTTTAAAGCTTTAATGCTTGCATTAGTGTCTGCTCTTGGGAGACAGAGGCACAGGACTGGAGCTGGGGTGGCTGCAGCACTGCTTGGCTTGGGAAGGGTGCATGTCTGGAACACGGCTATGCCAGGACTCTGCTTGGCTCCAGGCAGCACCAACAGCTGCTCCCTTTTATGTGTTTGAACAGTTTTCCTGGCAAGCAGTGAAAGAATTTGAAACTTTGCAGCAGGCTCTAATCCAAAGCTTCAGCAACCGAGGCTGGTGTTCGAGGTAGTTCCTCATGGTAGCATTCGTCTTCATCTTCTGACTGAAGCATGGTACTACATTTTAAAGTTTAACATCTGGAGTGGAGAGCGTTGGGTTGTGGAGCACCTTGGGTAATACAGCCCTGGTTTGGCGGCAGGTCTCCGCCTCGTTCTGTATTTCTATTTGTAACAGCCACATTACATACCAGAGTGCACAGGAAGTTTAAGTTTTTATTATAACATGATCTTGTATTTAATTTAGTTAAGGCAATTTACACTTTTTTAAAGTTTAACATCTGGAGTGGAGAGCGTTGGGTTGTGGAGCACCTTGGGTAATACAGCCCTGGTTTGGCGGCAGGTCTCCGCCTCGTTCTGTATTTCTATTTGTAACAGCCACATTACATACCAGAGTGCACAGGAAGTTTAAGTTTTTATTATAACATGATCTTGTATTTAATTTAGTTAAGGCAATTTACACTTTAGTTCTTAAGTAACAATAATAAAAAAAAAAAAGTAAAACATTACACCAGAGATGAAACTAAAACACAGGACACCCCTTCACAGTGAACTCCTGTAAACCTGCCGTACTACTACTAAGGAAGTTTAAGTTTTTATTATAACATGATCTTGTATTTAATTTAGTTAAGGCAATTTACACTTTAGTTCTTAAGTAACAATAATAAAAAAAAAAAAGTAAAACATTACACCAGAGATGAAACTAAAACACAGGACACCCCTTCACAGTGAACTCCTGTAAACCTGCAGTCTCCTACTACTACCGCCCAGATATTCTTGGTCCACAGAAGGCAAGAGTCTAGTTCGCACTAGTACAAGCTTGGATACTCCTCCTCATCTGGTGAGTTAAATTAACAAATCCATCTCCTTGAGTTTAGCTCCTCTTTACTGCACCACACTGATGAACAGAATTCTTTAAATGGAGAGGGATCAGCACGGAGCAGGTACAGCAAATACGATGGCTGGTTTGCAAAGATCCACAGGTACTAGTGCCACTCTTGGAATAAGTTAAATATTGCAGCCCTACAGCTAGTTACACTACACCCGAGGTGGAGGCCATCAGAATGTAGCGCATGGAGATAAAGATACAACCCTCCACATTTGCAAAATAAAGAGTTATTGCAATGAGGAATACAAGTATTGTATAATTTATCTTCCTACAAGGGCATTAGAGTAACGTGTGGGTCCAGGTATCGTGAGGAATCCTGGCCAGTCCCTGGTTCCTGAATTGCTTACAAGTGCACTAAGGAAAACGGTGGCCGTGAAGCCCTTCTGCACGGTCCGTCTCTCTCCGACAGGGATGGCCATGCGTGGAACCCAGGAATAAGCAGCCTCGTTAGCTGATACATGTGTGTAGTCCCTCGGTGGGTGAAGCCAATGCTTCTGCTCCGTCTTAGTGGTTCATGGTATTCTGGACATCCACAAACCCCATCCTCTGTCTGCGCTTCCGTTGCTCTGTCATCTAGAGTTCAAACAAGGACACGAGTGAGGCAGGGAACCGGGCCTCCTTTCTGTTCGCTAACGTGCTCCTCCAGCCTGCGACTGGCCAGGCTGCTTTAAGCATCTGCCAGAAAACCCCGTAAGCTGGACTCCAGCTGATGGGGAAGTAAAGTCTCAAAAAAGCCTTGTCCCAAGTGTCCCTGACCCCCCCAAAGAGCTGCGGGAGCCCTTTGCTTTGTGTCTGAAGTTGTACTGGCCTGGGCCGGTTCTGCCTCCCGTTCCTTGCCACCGTGTCTATTTTGGCAAGGACAGCGGGTTTCTCCCGTCAGGTGTTCCTCGAGCATTCCTATTTTTAAAAGTGTTCAGTACCTGTTCCTTCAGCTCATTCAGCTGGGAGGTGAGATGGGACACCAGCTTCATCGTGGTATTGAGTTTGTCTTGAAGATTTCGGATCTCATTCTGTTCCCCTTCCCCTTCGTTGCTGACCAGCGACATGGCGCGCATGCGGGGGAACCAGTCAAGGTTCTTATTCTGGAATGGAGAACGGGAGTTGGAGAGGGGGTGAGGAGGGAAGAGACCTGGTGGGATTTAATGGGAAGCCTGCGCGTGCTTAGGGAGTAAAGAAATTCTCAAAGGCCGGGGTTGTCTCTGTCTTTGCAAGTTTTCCACGACTAGTTCATTTCCAGCTTTTTTTTTTCTTACAGCCTTCTGGGCTCAAGTTCAGAAGTTTTTCTTTTCTAAATTTCCTTTCCCTCCCTTCTCGCCTTGAAATCACCTTGAAGTCACGCTCTCTACTGCTCGGTTCTGCCCTTGGTTCAATCCTTAAATACACAGTACAAAACATCAAATAGACAACGTGGTGTTGGCTGAGCTTGTAAAGTGGAAATAACCAGCTAAGAACAACATTATTAAATGTTCTCCAAAAGCTCCTTCTCGAAACCGTTTTTCTTTGGCAAGCCCATTGTTCTCAAACATTTCCCCGGGGTGGGCAGGCTGCAATAGCAAAGAGCTGCCCTGAGGGGACCCGTACCTTTATCATCTGCGCCACGTAACTCTCCGGCCCGGTGTAGTCCGTCTTGTTCTTCACTCGCACCAGCACTATGAAGTACAAGTAGTTCCACATGTTGTGCTCGTATGTAATGTGCTCCTCAAAGGACACCGTCTTGTTGTCAAACTTGTCCCTTTCGAGCCCTGGGAAAGGCAGTCGAGAACGGAGGAGGTGGAGGGAGGAGAAGGCACAAAGTGAGCAGGCAAACGAACGGGAAAGGAAGTACAGATAATTGCATCCTCTCCCAGGTGTGACGTTCAAGAAGTGCTTTTAATAATTAGTTGGCATTTAGCACACAACAAGCACCCAAAACAGGGACAATAACCCAGTTGTGGATTCAGGAGGCTTCTATTTAAAGTACTACTAGCTATGCTTCCTGCCTGTCTATCTAAAAGCACAAAATGCACCCAGTGGATCTTTTAAGAGAAAAACAGCTAAACTTACTGGGTTTTTCCCTTTTTTTGGATGCCTTCCTATGACTGAAAGTATTCCAGAACATTTTCTGTATTTTATTTCCTTAGTAATGTGGTGGGTTTTTTCCACTGGCTAAGCGATGGTCTCAGGAGGGACAGATGCACAGCAACAAGAACGCCACAATGTGGAGTTTCAGTTTAACACCTCATTAACAGAAGGCGAGGAACAAGACAGACAATTTCCCCTCGCAGTTTGTGTCCTTGTTTAAGCCTCTCGCGCTGCAGTGACCCATCGGTGAACAGATTACATTTTGCTGTGCACCAAATGAAAACCAGAAGCCAGCTGAAACTCCTTTTCTTCCCTCAGCCTGAGGAGAGAGGAAGAGCTTCGGGGCAATCCCCGTGCACCAGGGTCCCAGCGCTCACCGCATATGAAACAGGTGGTCTTCAGTATCTCTTCCTTCTTTTGCTTCTCGCTCCTCAGATCAGCAAAAGTGTCAATAATGACCCCAAAGATGAGGTTAAGGACGATGATAATGACAATGAAGAAGAAGAGGAGGTCATAGACAACTCGGGCAGGAAACAAGGACTCCTGTAATGGACAAAAGGGATAAACGTGTGTCTCGTGCTCCTCTCCTCGAGCCATGCCAACCGTGCTGCCTCGCCACACGGGCCACAGGCTGAGGGTACCAGGCGAGGGGGAGTAACGGGGATGTGGCAGGGGAAGAGAGGCGGAAAGCACTGGAGGACAGTGTGGGGGAGAGAGCTGGAAGCGTCACAGCTTCCAGGGAGGGAGGGCAGCCGCAGAGCGGTACGTGCGGCAGGACTTGGCAGGAAAAAGGGGTCCCGCTGCTGCCCAAACTCACATCCTTCGATGGCTTCCGCAGAATGTCACCCACGCCCCCGCCGTTCCTCAGGCCGTGGTTCAGGACAGTGACGATGCACATGAGCAGCGTGTCGCAGGCACGTTCCCACTGGTCCGCGTCTTTTTCTAGAGCACCGGAGGGGGAAAGAAAAGCAAAAAGCCAGAGCATAGACAGGGCAGAAGCACCAGGCCATTGCAAAAAACCCAGAGCTGCGGGGACGACTCTTGCTGCAGCGATGCAGTGGCAAATCTGGGAGCAGATGCTCGTTGTGGATCTCCCGACCAGCAACTTCCCAGCAGCTTCCCCAGCTTGCTTCTTGCTGTGGAGGTGTTTGGCTGAGCGCTCCTGAAGCCCCCACTTTCTTTATGACTAAATTGAA